AATCTGGGGAGCCTGCCAAGCCCCAGTTTAATAAACACTACTTAACCCCGAGCTGGGGAATGTTTTAAAGGGATTGTCTTACTCATGTCTATATTCCTGCAGCTAACACAGTCCTGGCACAACGCATACCCTCAATAAATGTTTGCTGAATGAATGAATGAAGAAATGGGTCTATACACAAATGAAGCTGTACTTTATAATTAGAGTATCTTCATGCTTCTTGCATCCTCAGCATTTACTTCGTCGGGAGAGAGGGAGCAGGAAGGGAAGAAAAGGAAGAAGGGACTGACACAGCATATGCTGGTCCCCGGGCTCTACAGCAGTCTCCCCTTATTTACAGGGACACATTCCAAGACCCTCCGTGGATGCCTGAAACTGCAGATAGAACCAAACCCTACGTGTACTATGTTTTTCCCTATATATACATACCTTTTCTCTTAGAGGAAGCACTCTATGGCTTTTCTTGGGCATATCTGAATTGCCAGCATCACTGCTCTTACACTTTGGGGCTGTTATTAAGTAAAATGAGGGTCACTAACACAGCACTGCAATACCGCAGTCATCTGATAACCGAGACGGCTACTAAGTACTAACAGGCTGGCAGTGCGCACAGCATGCATAGTCTGGACAAAGGGATGATTCATGTCCTGGGTGGGACAGAACAGGATGGAGTGAGATTTCATTAGGCTACTCAGAATGGCGCACAATTTAAAGTTATGAATTGTTTATTTCTGGAATTTTCCATTTAATATTTTTGAACCTCAGTTGACCACAGGTAAGAAAGCAAAACTGTGAATAGGGGTGGGGGGGCTGCTGTATTCTTTATACATGCTTCCTAATTTAATTTTTACCGTCACAAAGGTCCTGAGAGCAGGGCAGGAGATGAGGTTCCTTCCATCAGAGATGGCTGCTTTCCATGCTAAGATCATAGAGAAGGAGAGAGATACCCTTTGGGGTGGGGAGTAGTGCCGAGGGGTCACCTCCATGTCAGTGACAATGGTGCCCCATGAACTAAAGAAGGCCATGTGGGGTGAGGGCCCTGAGAGAGAGGACACAGGACCAAGTGTCAGGAGGCCTCTGAAAATGGGCCCATGACACTTCCTGGCCTGTTTCCTCATCAGCAACATGAGGGCGACAGCCTACATGCTCTCAAAGGTCCCTCACACTCCATGCCTCCCTATTCCAGAGAATCATTTCCTGTGAGATCTGTTTTGTGTTTATTTGTGAGATGAAGGAAAGAATGAATAAACGCATAAACGAAGAGGTGAGCCATCCAGTGACATCTCTAAAACATCTCATACCTTCTTGCTGCTGTTCCAACCCTCTGCCCCCAACCTCCACCAGGTACTCCTGGCTTCTAGGAACCTGCTCCCACTCTGAAGTCCCTGTTAGGCTCAAGGAGGCCAGGCTCCTGCTCACTGCCCCTCGCACCCACCGCCTGAAGGCCCCAATGCCTAGGAGAGTAAGCAGTGATTCTTCCTGGCAGGGAGCCTTCCGTTTAAAACTGAACATCTCCTATCCTGCTGGCCTCCCTCATCTTGGAATCTGCCTGCTACAGTGTGAATGATTCAGCCCTCAGGGTGGACAAAGGCCCTCGAGCCTGGCCCATGGGCAAGATGGACATGTAAAAAACACAAGCACAGGCCTGCAAGAACAGTGCTCACGAAGGCCCAGGGGACCAAGGATGGTACAGCCCAGATCACACATCAACCCCAGGCCAGGGTGTGCTGCTTAGAGGGCGTGTCAAGCTGAGAATCAGAGAGGGTCTCTGGGCACTTTCTGGCTGTTCTTTGCCTTATTCTAGGTTTCTGGCTGTTATGTATGGACCAGGAGCTATTACAATGGGGTGTTTCTTTCCAAACTCATCAAAAAATAGATCTACTTCAAATGCTAGCCCCTCTCCTAGAATTTTAATTATATGCTTACATCACCACCCCCTACCCAACTTCCAATGTCTTAGCCTTCTTTTTATATCCCCAAGTTCCTAGGCTCAGAACGAATAAATTGAGTCATTGAATGAACAAATGAACATGCATATATACAACCCCTTTTGTCTTCTATAATAGAAGACCCAGGGAGGCAGAGAAGTTAGTTAACCCGTCCAAGGTCATACAGCCAATTACTGGTTGGGGAAGCCAGAGTTAAAAAACAAGCTAAGCTCTGTCTTAGCCCCTCCACTAAACGGTGTGGAAAAGGAGCGAACAGTAATTGAGCATTGACACAATGCCAGGCCCTATGCAGTGGCTCACAAGGCTGTGAGAAAGATATTATTCCCATTTTACAGGTGAGAACATCAAGGCTCAGAGTGATGTTCTCTGCCAAGACTGCTCCTCACTCTTCCCACCTACTCATTCCTATCTTCCTTCAGGCTCCAGCTCAAAAGCCATTTCCTTCAGGAGGCATTTCTTCCCTGAACCCCCAAATTCGGTGGGTGCCCTCCCTGCTTCCCCACAGGTCTGTGTGTTTCTGTCCCTGTGGTGGCATGCATGCCCTGTGCTGCCACTGATTGTGTCAGTGACACTTTGAGTTTCTCTAGCTGGGCAAGGGCTGTAGCTTCAATAAATCAAAATGTTAACACCGGGCAAAAAGCCTGGCACACAGCAGGAGGCCAGTAAATATTTGTGGAAGAAAAGAGAAAAGCAGGGAAGGAAGCAAAGAAGAAAAGGAAGGAGAAAGAAAAGAAGGTTCCCAAAGCCATAGAATCGGGAAGTGAGGATGCTGGCGGCTGAATCAAGCCTGGTTCTAGAGACTAGACTAGACTAGACGCATGAAAGCAACCACCTTCCCCTACGATAGAGACCTTGAATTATATCTTGTGGATCTATCTTAGAACTTGGCGCAGTCCCCACCTGCCATGAACAAGTGCTAGTAAATGGCTTCACACTTTCAGAGGTCAGGATAGTGGGAGTGATTTTCTGAGGTGCCCGTGGAGCTCACAACAGCGGTACTGCCAATGGTGGGTACTCCACATGCTTATTGTTTGAGCTGATTTCTATTCAGTCCGTCCCACTGTGATGAGGACCGTGACTAGGATCAGGGAAGAGCCAGCTGTTGGCTGTCACCATGGCATTGGAGGCCTGTGGGGTGGATGAGCCTGGAAAGATTCGGCACAAAACTACTCTTGGGGTCAAGTTTGTCTACATGTTTTAAGATGAGAGAGGCACACGCTGATGAACAATGCAGAGCATCATATTGCCTCAGAGGCTTAGGGGTGGGTTCTGGGGTTTAAGTTCAGTTCACACGCCTGCTAAACAGGCAGTTTCCATGGGAGTCGGGCAAACATGGTGGGGAGTTTGTGTTACTGTGACTTTTCCCCAAGACGTTTACAACAGGCATAGCGTACAGTGCGATGAAAAGAAAGTTACTCATCTGAAGGCCTGACACTCTTTTTTCTCTGAAAATTACAGTTAGTCCTCATCCCCTACCCCAAGCCAACACAGCTTTCACAAATGTTTAGTTAGGGTTTCTCTTTGAGATTTTATTTTGACAAAAAAATTTTAGTAACCTTCTAAGCTACCTATGAATTGTAACTTAGCGTCACTGTGTACCTCGTCTGAGGTCTGGAAGGATGACCACGGCCAAGGCAGAGTCAGGAGTGAGGAAGTTGCCAGCCTAGGAATTGAGAGATGAGGTTTGAGACAAGCTCAGCCCCTGCCCCTGCCCCTGCCTCTCTATACAACTCTGGGCGAGTCCCAAACTCTGGTTCCTTCCCTGTGACAGGAAGACTCCCTGGGCCATCCTGAAAATCCACTGAGAAATGATTGCCTTACGGACACAGTATAAGAAGTAGGGGCATCTATCAATACAAGGAAGGCAGTGAGAGCACATGTATCTAACATCAAAGAGGAATGAGGCTCCACGTAGGAATCTGTGATCTGGACCATGGGAACCTCCTTCTTGAACATCAGATGGCCCTTGACTTTAAACTCTGGGACAGGCTAATGTCAACACTGGCTGCCCCCTTTCTGAGCGAGGCACACCGACCCAGGGCTATTCGTGGCTGGCTGCAGGGCTGTGGGGGCCATGGGCTTGCGTGACACTGATTCCTCAATGCTGACTGGCTTCTATCCTTTATAACCCTGGACTCTTGTGTTCTGAGTGTTTCTGTCTCGCCACCACGGTAAGCAGTCATCTCTCCCTGCTGTCAAGCCTGATGTCTTTCATTCCCCTTATTCCTGCTTTGAAACCTTGTTCGATAAGAAAGCCTAAAACCTCAGTTTGTTAAAATCGGTGCAGTATGAGCCTGAGTCCTGCGAGCGAAGCAGAGGAGCTCCACACATCTGTGGGCTAATCTCCTAAGGCCACGCACTCTGCTCAAAGCTCTTCAGTGCCTCTCATTCCCACCAAGACGCGTCCAGACACCCCAGGCTGGTGCTGCTTCCAAAGCCCGCAGTTACTGGCCCTCAGACCCCACCTGCAGTCGAGCTTCCTGCATGCTCAGGTGTTTCTCCAGACTCCGGCTGCCGCTCGGCCTCCTCCTGTGCCTTAAACACCCGCACCGCCAAGGCCCTGGTCAAGGCCTGCCTCCTCCCTGCAGGCCCCCTCGGCTACAATAACCCCTCTCCATCCTTTCACCTCTCCTACCGCTTCATCTACATCGCTGCCCTGGCATGTACCGCTTTCTCACTTACAGGAATGGCATTTTTAGGATCGCCTCTCGTTCTCCTCACTACCTAAAGCCTCCTGAGAGGTTCCTATGAGCCCTGGCACTGCCTCTGGCTGAGGGAGCGCATGCCACGAGTGGCTAGTGGCAAACGTTCTGTCCACTTGTTCTCTGAGCTGCACGTCTCGTGTCCCCACTGAGCTCTAGGTGCTCGGCTGCTGCGATTATAAGCTCCTGTCAGCTTTGCTGCGGGCGGGGGCAGCTCTTCCTTGGGCTGACTGCTGAGCTGTCTCTGCCCTTCCCTGGCCTCGGGGCACTTGGCCCGCCTCCCCTGTGCCCTCCTGGATGTGGAGCTGCACCAAGCACCCGCCTGTGTGCAGGGCGGGCGGCCACTCACCGCTGCCGAGCCTCAGGAGCAGCACGTCCTGGAGCCTGCGGTTGAGGTCGCGTAGCTCCTTCATCTCGGATACGAGCGCCCCGTACTCCTTGAGCTTCTTGGCCTGCTGCACCAGCTGCCTGCGAGTCCGCTCCAGCTCCTGCTGCACGTGGCGCATCTCCTCCTGCTGCTGCTGGTAGTTGCGCAGCAGCTCCTCATACAGAGCCCGGGGCACGGCGGCGTCCTCCAGGCTGTCCATGTCCTCCGTGCCCGGCGAGGCCTCCACGAAGACCTCCTCTGGGCATGTGCTGTGGCCCAGGCTCAGGCCGTTCTGCTTCTCCAGCCGGGCCACCACGGCCTCAATGCTCTTGTGTGCCACGTCGCTTGGCTTCCGCCCCTCGGGTCTCTGTAGGACAACGAGAATCAGTTCAGGCAAGGGCAGCTGGGACTTTTCTTGGACTGCAGCTCAATATTTCCCCAGACAATCCTAGAATCACAGAACCACAGAACATCAGTGCTTGGAGAAACCCATGCAGACATGCAGTCAAAGCCCTTCCTTTTACAAATGGGGAAACAGAGGCGCAGAGTGGGAGGGTCTTGCCCAAAGTCTCAAGGGCAGGTGGGGGCAGAACCAGGACTCGGTCTCCCAGGCCAGCACTTTTCCCTTCCATCACTCTGCCTCTAGGACGCGTATTATACCATGACCACCATCCCTAACTCCCAGCCCCCGCCCCACCCATAGGGCCTAGGCAGTGACTGCTCACAAGGGGTTTCAATGTGTATTTATGGGGAGTCAGGGAGAAATCAGGGCAAGCCAAGTCCCCCAGGGCAGTCACCACTCAAATCTCTTCAACAACAACATAAAAGTGGAAAAGGGGCATTCCATCAAGTAACCTTTTCCTTAAGAACGCTTTAATTGGGGAGGATGCTAAGAATGTCATCTACTCTCATCTAGGGCGGCAACCTGCCTTAGTTTCCCCATTCTCCACTCCTACCCAGACTGGCACTTGGCAGGGGCATGATAAATGTTTACTTAACTGAAAAGTTCAAAGAACGCTAGCGCTGAAAGGTTCTTCTGTTCAATCCCTCATTTTACAGGTAAGAAAACGAAGGCCGGGAGGGGAAGGTTAGTCTCAGGGTCATGAGTGAGCTACAGATGAAACCAGACCAGGATTCGGAGCCCAATTTCCAGCCTGAGCCTTTCCCTGTGTCTACCAGCCCCGCCCTGGACTCTGGCTAAGCTGAAGCTCCACAAGACAGTGGACACATCGGGGATGGTTCATGGAGAAGAGAATCATCCAGGACATGCAGGGCTCCAGCTGCTGGAGGAAGTTCCTGCTTGAGGATGCAGCTTCCACCGAGGGGAGTGGGAGGGACAGGACCAAGGAACTCTCCACCCAGGGTGGGGGCATTTTATCTGCTGGGATAAGATGCTGCTGGTCTAGATGAACTTATTAGCTAAAATTCCGATGACCGTTTTAGATATCTGTCTGAATCACGGCACCGTGAGACCAAGGGCAGTGACGACATCTGGCTGATCTCCATGACCCCAGGGCCAGGCCCAGAGCCAGGGAGCAATGAAAGGATAGTCTGAACTAAGCTGCATCTTTGGATTACACCTTTGGAATGCCCTGGACCTTGTGTCCACAATCAGACCATGGTCAATGCAGAAGGCATCTCTCTTTCTCTTCCCCTGTGGTACCCATCGCACAGAAAAAACACTTGGTTTGTTGAACAGGGTTTTCATTAGGTTTACAAGTGAAGGCTGGAGGAGACCAACTGGGGTGCACACCAAAGGAAATGCAACCTCATGCAAAAGCTCTCTTCCAACCCATGAATCCCCTTCTGTGAACCTGGCTCACCCTGTTCGGAGGGAGTCCACCCCTCGCTGTTTGGGGCAATCGGATAGTGACCCGCTGGGAACTGCTGCCCAGGAACTGTGTGCTCAGTGCCCCGGGCCCAGCAGGGACCCCTCCAGAGCTGTGGGCCAGAGGCACGCACCCTCCAAACCCTTGGCAGCGGTGACACTGCGTAGGTGGTGCAAACAGGACCAGCGTGGTGGCACAGCCTGAGTCAGGGCTCCCCAGGAGGCTGGCAGCAACCCTCTCCTAACCTGGGACGCCAGGGGACATCTAGTGGGGAGAGGAGGCCAGGCTAGAACTCTTCAGCTGTCAGAACTCTGAGAATGCTCCCACGTACTTCCAAATAAGGGAAAGATTTTGTTACCTTGATGTGTCTAAGCTGTAAATCTTCTTCCCCGTAATCTTTAACCTCCCCATCTTCTTCTATGTGATTGAGAGAGAGTTTGGGGATTTTTATTTTCTTCTGCATCACACTGTTTTCAAGGTCAGATTTGTCTTCTAAAATGCATATCAAGAGAACAAGATTCATTATGGGTCCAAATGAGTCTAAGCGATGCCCATATGCTTAAAAGCTAGAGAACCACGGAGGCCAGACCAGTTAAACAAGAGACGCAAACAAGCTCACGGCCTGTTCCCTCCCACATGCGGGGCCCTGAGAGCAGCAGTCACATCTAACTCCGGGATGGGGGTATTTACTAAAGGTGCGCTGGACAAAGCATTGAAATGGTACCCAATGAATTTGCTTAGGGTTTTCTCTAAGTACATCGTACAGGGTGGCCTTTTATGGAAGTCTAGAATCTGGCAACTGGAGTGGCCCTTACATTGTTCTCTGGTCTAAACATAACTAGCACACGAATCCCTCAACAACGGAGATCTTTCTAAGCCAAGTGACTTCCCAGAAAAAAATGGTGGGTTCCTGCCAGCTCGGGTGCCAACAGGCATGAAAGGGATGACAGCTCTTATGGAGGCAAAGCTGAGCTGGAAGGACAGGGGCCTCCCAGACAGCAGACAGGCTGAGGTAAGACAGATACAGAAAGAGCAACAAGTGACGTTTCCCGCTGTCTTATTGGTGTCAGGTCACAGCTGACAGAGTTTGAGGGACCTGAGCGACCAACTGGTCCAACCCTCTCATTTTCCAGATGAAGATGGGGGGGTCGTGGAGGAGTCAGGCCTCTGGCGTCTCGCCCAGTACCCAGGCGTAGTAACCACACACACTGAGGTGCGCTACAAACTGTAAAGTGCTGCACGACTCCAAAAGGATATCTTTTTCTTCCCACTTCCTCACATCAACTTCAAATAATCTAAAGGAATTGTTTTTCTCCTGCTTGGATTTCAAACTTTATTTCCCAGGTCTTTCTCACAGTGGATGTCAAGAGTTCAAAGAGGAAGTCCCAGAGGCAGGAACCTGGACATGCTCAGAACCGGCCCCTAGAGGTAAGAACACTGGGGTCTTGTTTCCTGGGACTGGCTGGGACCCTGGGGACCACTGTGTCTTTCCCTCCTCCAATGTCCCCACTGCTGTGTCCTCAGTGCAGTTCCAGGCACATCGCCCGTTACTGGAGGTGGCACATGGCCAGGCGGCTGATTAAATCCAGCCTTCGAGGGTCTGTGTGAGTGTGAGTGTGTGGGCATGTGATTGTGCTAAACACGCTCTTACACTCTCCCAAGCCAGGCTCCTCTCCTCACAGCTTGTTAGTAAAGCTGAGAAGGAAGCTTATAAGCTGGTAACTATTCCAGAATATAGTCAAATGCCAAATCTTCCCAAATGATCGTAGGAATGGAAGCCTGGCTGGTCAGAGGCAGGACTCTGGTCTGAGAGAGACCACCATGGGAACCTCTGCTCTATGACAGGTGAGGAGGAAGGGCCAGGCCTTAGCCTAGTGAGCTCAGGAGTCTCCTCTGTCCCGAGACGGGGGGTAACAGCAGTAATTCACATAACTCACTGCACAATGCCTGGCACACAGTAGGCACTCAATGAATGGCATGTTAAAATTGCTATTATCAACATGCTAGGAATTGTTTTATTTTTTTGAGCAAAGACACAATTTAAAAAACATAGGAATGACTTAAGACAGGAACAGAGTATAAGGGAACTGCCCAAGAAAAAAGCGGTGGTCTTTGTTAACCCCTCCTCCTGATCAGAGTAGCAAAACACCTTTCCACTACCTGGAGGAACCAGGCTCTGTCTTCACAAACAAAGCCTGTTCTCCTCTTTGTGCCCATGAAATATACCCAATGAGTTAGGCATGAACAGCCCATTGGAGATGTGGTCTTTCTAAGAGTCACAGCCTCCTTCCGATAAATTATCATGACTCTTAAGCCAATAAGCTGCTAAAATGTGAAACCTAAAGAAAATACTCCCAGGGAAGTTATCCTGAAATGGGATGGATGGCGTTTTCACGTGGGGGAAAAATACAACAAAAACAGAGAGAGAGAAGGGGGGGGAGAGAGAGAGAGAGAGAGAGAGAGAGAGAGAGAGAGAGAGAGAGAGAGAGAGAGAGAGAGAAAGAAGAAGAAAGAAAGAAAGAAGAAAGAAGAAGAAGAGAAGGAGGAGGAGGAGGAGGAGGAGGAGGAGGAGGAGGAAGAGGGAGGGGAAGGGAAGGGAAGGGAAGGGAAGGGATGAGAGGAAAGTGTTAGGATTTCCGAATGTGTTGGGGCCAAGCTCCGGGCAACTTTTCAGTTTGACACGTTCAAGGGCAGATTCTGAGATGCAGCCACCACACTAGAGATGACAAGAAGCCATGCTGTCCCTGGGCTGAAACTCTGTAGCTCAGGATCAGGTTGATGTGGAAAGAAGCAATCAATCAGAATCACAGACTAACATTTAAACTGAGAACGATGCACACAAATCATCGCCTTCGACCCTTTCAGAATGCAGAGGAGGAAACCGAGGTTGCAGAGGGTGAGGTCCCCGAACCCATCCTGCAGAGGTCAGGCCCAGGGCTCCGGCAGCAGCGGGGCAGGCAGGGTCCCCATTCAGAAGAGCTCAGCGTTGTGCAAGGTCACAAAAGCGAATGCCATCGCCTGAACAGAGTCAGAACCAAGGCTGTATAACCAGGCCCAGAGCTTCTCCTCCTGTGTCTGAGCTTAACAGTTGCTGAGAATTTACACTGCAGATATCTAGCATGGCCCTGGGGGACACACAGACTAAGCATCCAGTTGGGGGACACAAGATAAAAACCCATGAAAAAGATAAGGGTGATGAGTTGCCACAGGAACTTAACTCTTGTTTATGCCAGTCAGCCTGTGGTAAAATTGGTATCGGTATAGCCTGTTTTGCAGCAGTTCCAAGAACCCATCAAGGACACTAAGTGAGGACTTACTGTATACATCTTCTCTGTAGCCTGTTTTCTTACTATGTTGCAACGATCTGCTTTGAGATGTACCTTCTCCACTGGATTGTGAGTAGCCTCAGGGCAGGGCCCATTTCCTAGGCTTGGACCTTCAACAGGGACTCAGCAAACAGAAATGTTTAATGGAAGAATAATAAAAAGGAGGCTGCGACTATAATCATATGAAAAGATGCTCAAAATAATCAGTCCTTAGGGAAATGTAAATCAAAAGTGAAATGAGCCGAAACCGGTTTGGCTCAGTGGATAGAGCGTCGGCCTGCGGACTGAGGGGTCCCGGGTTCGATTCCGGTCAGGGGCATGTGCCTGGGTTGCGGGCACATCTTCAGTGGGAGATGTGCAGGAGGCGGCTGATTGATGTTTCTCTCTCATCGATGTTTCTAACTCTCTATCTCTCTCCCTTCCTCTCTGTAAAAAATCAATAAAATATATTAAAAAAAAAAAAAAAGTGAAATGAGATACCACTTTCACACTCGCTAGGATGGCTATAATCAAAAAAGGAAAGAAAAATAGCAAGTGCTGGGAGAAGTGGAGACACTGGAACTCCTGCTCGCTGCTGTGGGACTGAAAATGGGGCCGCCACTGTGGAAAACAGCTGGCAGTTCTGCATTAAATAGTGCGGATGGTCGCAGAACACGGTGAATATGCTCAGAACCACTGAAGTGTATAGTCTTTAAACCGGTGAATTTTATGTTACATGAATGATACTTTAATTTAAAAACAGGCTACCACTGGTGAAATGCCTACCACCCATCAGATGCCACCATAAGGCTCTTTACATGCTACTGCACCTCACATTAACCCTGCCATTAAGTAGTATGAGCCACAGTTTTGCTTTTTTTTTTTTTCCCCTTAAAGAAGAAATGAGATTCAAAGAAGGCCTTTAGGCCAACCAGATGGTAAGATGCAGAGCCAGGATTTGACCCAGGTCTCACAGCCTTCCCAGCCTAAGCGCTATTCTGCCTAAACACATGCTTGGAATGTGGTAGAGCCAGAATAAATGCAGAGTGAATGAATAAAGGCTACAGATAAGGCCATGCAAATCCCCCAGCCTGAAGTTCAAAGCAGAAGACCCCTTTTTCCTGCTCTCCTACCAGACTGTTCTCTGGGAGTCCCCAGAGAGCAGTCACCACCCCCACAGCACAGCAGAAACAGGCTGTAGCCTCGGGCTTGAGTAGGTTCTCTGAAATGGTAGGCTGAGCGGTGCAGGGAGGTCTGAAGAGACAGGAGTAAGTTCCAGGAAGGAGCAGAAGCACACGTCTGACTGGCTCCTGGCTGCCTCCTACTTGGCCAAGGGATCTTGAGGCTCCTCAGAGACTAACTAGCTCCTGGCTCCACCCTAACGCTCCTCCTCTCCTCCTGGACCCGTGCAGACTGGAGGAGGACTCGGGAAGCCCTGGGACCACACTCATCCTTTTCTGCGGGGCCAGAGCACACTTGCTGAGCCCCTGTTCTGGGCTGAGCACGATATTAGAGACTCTTGTCATCCAGTCCCCGACAGCCAGGAGGTTCCAAGAACCTCAGCCAGAGTGCAAGGTGTGACTTGCTGAGGGACACTGGCTCCCATGGGGCACCCCTCTAGCCAGCAGGCCTTCCTAACTCTAATCCTGGGTTGAAGGCGGTGCCTCACATCCACATCTAGTCCACAGAGGTGACTGCTCATTCAGTATCGTCATAAAAGGTGAAGAAATGATTGGAAGAGAGAAGACCAGGATCTAAGAAAAGCAGTCCAGTCTCGTGAATCAGGTGGCTCTGGTTTGGGATTCTGGCTCTGCTACCTACTAACTGTGGGAACATGGGCAAGCTGCTTAACCTGCCAGTGTCTCAGTTTCATTATCTGTAAAGTGGGGGTAACTGACTGTTTTCTGGAAGATCGTGCATGTAAAACACCAAGCACAGTGCCCGTCTTGTCATAGGTGTTCAATTAATAGCAGCTGCTAGGCTGCCCTTGTGGGTTACGTGCTTGGCTTTTATCCCACGGCAAACAGAACTGCTGAGGGGTCCCAGCACACTGAGACATGATGAAAGAGATGTATTAGGAAGATTAATGTGGCAGTGGCAAGCAAGATGGATGAGATGTTAGGAGGAGACTGAACATAGAGTGACAAGAAGCTATAACTCTTAGCTGGTCACATTAATGAAGGTGAA